TACCGCGTGCCTGTCTGGCCGTACCGGCTAGGAATCTGCTCGTGTGCCGGTGGCCCAGCGGAGATGTCTGGGAGGCACTCGATAGTTGTTCCAAGTCTCTTGGGACCAAACAGGGTCATGAGCCAGAGGCCTTTTTGAAAGGTTTCTTGGGATCTCTTCGAAGATCTCTCGGGGGATTATTGGCGGCAGTTGACCAGATGCCTCTTTGGCATGCTTTTTTCTGGTCTTTTCGGAGTCCTCTCGGGGGGTTCTGAGCTCCATTTTTGTGACCTCTCTCGCGGACCTCGGGTGGCAGCTTTTTGGGCCTCCAGGGGGCTCTCGGGGGCGTGCCGGCGGGCTCGCGCGCCATTTTTCGGCGCAGGCTCGACATGTGAGCTTGGATTCCCCGTTTTGAGACCTTCTTTGGGGCCTCTGCAGCTCTCGTTGGAGGCGCTTCTTGAGCCGTCTTGGAGTCCTTTGGGGCCGTCCTGGGAGCCCCCTGGGCTGACTCGGGGTGGTCTTGGCGACCTCTTGGCACGTCCGGGGCGATCGGAAGCCTGCAAAGGCGCTAACGCCAAAAGCAAAATCAATGATTTTTGTCTCTTGGGGCCCTCTTCGGGTCTTGTTTTAAGTCGGGCACGTCCCTCCTCTACAAGAGGAATTTCCAAGAATAGTACAAACATCGTCTGGGGATGATTATTTAGTGCTCGTTTGTTTTGTGCTCGTTTGGTTATCTTTGATTATTATCGCTTCGCTCACTCCGCCGGCCAGTATTATGCTCGCAGGCGTTTGCCTGCGCGTTCGTAGCCTCTTGGGGGCCGTTTGGGGGCCGTTTGGGGGCCTCTTGGAGACTTTTTTGAGGTCTCTTGGGGGCCTCGTGGGGCCTCCAGGGGGCCTCCTGGGATCTCTTGGGGGCCTCCTGGGGGCCTCCTGGGCGGAAGGCTCGCATCGGTGGTTCGTGTTCCCCCTCTTAGGCCCCTCTTAGGCTCCTCTTGGGGCCGTCTTTGGGGTCCTCTTGGGCAATCTTGGGCGCTTCTGGGGGCGTCTGGGGGCCCTCTTGGGGGCCTCTCGGGCCGTCTTGGGGCGGTCTTGGGGTCCTCTTGGGCCATCTTGGAGCGTCGGAGAGCCGAAAAGGCGAGAAGGCTGAACACTTCCAATAACCTTCCAGGAAAATCTATGATTTTTGTCCCTGGGGACCTCTTGGGAGGCATCTTGGAAGCCTCTTGGGCCGTCTTGGCGGCCTCGTGGGCCGCCTTCAGGCCATCTTGGGCGGCTTGGAATGGTTTGGGGGCGTCTCTGGCCCCTCTTGGCTCCGTCTTGGGGCGTTCGTGGGCCGTTTTGGGCGCCTGTGGGGTCGTCTTGGTGCCCTCTTGGGCAGTCTTGGGGCCCTCTTGTGCTCTCGTGGGCCCATCTTGGGGGCGTGTTGGCCCGTCTGGGGACGATGCTGGAGGCCCCCTGGGGCAGTTCTGGACGCTGTGAACCCCAAAACGTCGCACATGCGAAAAACATAAGTTTCCCGACGAGAATTGGACGATTTATGCTTATTGGGGCCCTCTTCGAGAGCCTCTTGAGGCTCTCTTGGGGCTTTTCGCAGGCTCTGGGGCCATCTGGACACCATCTTGAGCTTCTTGGAACGATCTTTCGGCGACTCGGGGCCTCTGTGTAGGGGCCGTCCTGGCGCCGTCTTGGCGCGCTCCAGGAGGGCCTTGGGGGAGTCAGCCAGGCATCGCCCGGGCATCGCCCAGGCATCGGCCGGGGCACTGTTCTTCCAGGGGTCCCCAGGGGCTGCCATTCGCGCGCGAATTAGAAATACGAGTGAAACGCTGTTAACCTGTTACTGGAGATCTTAGCACGCCTCTGGCCAGTTGGGCCGGCGATTGTGTTGATTAGTCGTATTTTTTCTTCCAAAATCCGTTTGTAGGAGGACATGCCCGACCTAAGTCTTCAAGGAGCCCTCTTGGGCGCCTCTTGGGCCAGCTTGGAGTCATCCTGGAGCGCTCTTGGTCTGAGGCCGTGGGGCCTGCCACATATCTGGCGCCTCCCTGGGGCGCTCCTGGGGTGTCCCGAGGGCCCAAAATGTCGCGCCCATGAGTTCTGGCACCTGTGGACGGGACCTCGCCGGGACATTGTCGGGGACCGCCCAGTTTTTTTCCCCAACCCTCTTGCGTTGGGTACTCGTTTTGACTAGAGCACTGCGGTCGCACACCTCCTCCCTCCCGCCTCCTTTCTCCTCTCATCACTCCTACCTGCCTTCTACCTTGTCTCCTGCCTGGCCATCCCTGGGGGGCTGCGATCTGCGAAACTGTCGCAACTTTTAAGGGCTGCTGGGGGGTCCAGCGGAGCGGCGTCCCACGCGGGTTCAAATTAGACCTCGCCATCCTTTGGGGGCTGCGATCCGCGAAACTGTCGCCACTTCCGAGGGCTGCTGGGGGGTCCAGCGGAGTGGTGTCCCACGCGGACCCAAATTTGATCTCGCCATCCTTGGGGGGCTGCGATCTGCGACATTGTTTCCACTTCCGATGGCTGCTGGGGGGGTCCAGCGGAGTGGTGCCCCACTCGGACTCAAATTTGACCTCGCCATCCCTGGTGGGCTGCGATCTGCGAAACTGTCGCCACTTTCGAGGGCTGCTGCGGGGTCTAGCGGAGTGGTGTCCCACGCGGACTCAAATGAGACTTCGCTGCGATCTGCGAAACGTTTCGGCATTTTCAAGGGCTGCTGGGGGGTCCAGCGGAGTGGTGTCCCACGTGAATCAGACTAGACCTCGCCATCTCTGGTGGGCTGCGATCCGCGAAACAATCGCCACTTTCGAGGGCTGCTGGTGGGGTCCAGCGGAGTGGTGTCCCACGCAGATTCAAATTAGACCTTGCCATTTCTGGGGGGCTGCGATCTGTGAAATCATCGCCACCTTCGAGGGCTGCTGCGGGGTCTAGCGGAGTGGTGTCCCACGGATTCAAACTAGACTTTGTCAGTCTTGCGGGCTGCGATATGCCAAACTGTCGCCACTTTCGAGGGCTGTTGGGGGGTCCAGCGGAGCGGGGTCCCACGCGGACTCAAACTAGACCTCGCCATTTCTGGGGGGGCTGCGATCTGCGGGATTTTCGTCATCTTCGAGGGCTGTTGGGGGTCCAGCGGAGTGGTGCCCCACGCGGATTCAAATTAGACCTCGCCATCCCTGGGGGGCTGCGATCTGCGAAACCGTCGCCACTTTCGAGGGCTGCTGGGGGTCCAGCGGAGCGACGTCCCACGCAAACTCAAATGAGACTTTGCCATCCCGGGGGGGCTGCGATCTGCGAAGCTGTCGCCACTTTCGAGGGCTGCTGGGGAGTCCAGCGGAGCGGCGTCCCACGTGGACTCAGAGTAGACCTCGCCATCCCTGGGGGAGTGCGTTCTCCGAAACTGTCGCCACTTTCGAGGGCTACTGGGGGGTCCAGCGGAGCGGCGTCCCACGCGGATTCAAATCAGACCTCGCCACCCCTGCGGGGTTGCGATCTGCGAAACTGTCGCCACTTTCGAGGGCTGTTGGGGGTTCCAGCGGAGGGACGTCTTACGTTGGTTCAAATTTGACCTCGCCATCCCTGGCTGGCTGCGATCTGCGAAACTGTCGCCACTTTCGAGGGCTGCTGGGGATCCAGCGGAGCGGCGTCCCACGCGGACTCAGTTTAGACTTCGCCATCCCTGGGGGGCTGCGACCTGCGAAACTGTCGCCACTTTCGAGGGCTGCCGGGGGGTCCAGCGGAGCGGCGTCCCACGCGGACTCAGTTTAGACTTCGCCATCCCTGGGGGAGGGACTTTCGCCACTTTCGAGGGCTGCTGGGGGGTCCAGCGGAGTGAGGCACCACCCAGACGCAGATTAGACTTCGCCATCCCTGGGGGGCTGCGATTGTCGCCATTTTCGAGGGCTGCTGGGAGGTTCAGCGGAGTGAAGCACCACCCAGACTCAGACTAGACCTTGCCATCCCTGGGGGGCTGTGATCTGCCAAAGTGTCGCCAGTTTCGAGGGGTGCTGGGGGGTTCCGCAGGGGGCTGTCGCGGGCCGCCCGCAGACCTGGCGGCGCGCCTTCGAGCGTTTAGCTCCCGCACTGACAAGTGCAGAAAGGAAGCAGGGAAGCTGGCGGGCGAGCTAGGGTTTGTTCGCTTCGCGCACTAACAATAAACAGGTTGAATCATTTTGTCGAACGCCGCGGCGCCAGGGCGCAGGCAACGCTGCATCTTTAGCGTACTACCGACAAAAGCAACACTCTTCAGTCTTCTCCTCCAGTCACTTTCGTCGTCCTCCTCTGCCCTCTTCCAGCTTCCCTCTGCTGCTGCCGCGCTGACGGTTCGGCCCCCCACGCGTCCTTCTCCTGCCCTTTGTTCCCGCCCTCTGTCCTCCTCAGGTCTGGGTCCCCGTTCCTCGTCTTTCTGCTGTTGTCCTGTGAATCGTGCCACGTGAGCGCGCCCAATGTAGCTTGCACAGCATCTAACGGCGCCTGCACTGTCATTGTCCTGGCACATGCGGGCCGGCTCCTCTTGTCACTTGATGCGCATGGGTTGGGTACATCGCAGGGTAAATTTCTTCGCCCGGGCGCCCCCAGAGGCCGCCACGCGCACGCGAACTCGAAATTCTGTGAACCTCTTACCAGACATCCTGGCACGCTTCTGGCCCGCTGGGCCGGGGAAAGGCATCAGGAGACATAGGATGGCGGGAGGAGGGAAGGCGCGGGAGGAGGAGGGAGGACGATGGAGGAGCAGAGGCGGGATGGGGGGGGGAAGAAGGAGGGGGGAGGAGTGGGAGGATGACGGGAAGGAGGAGAGGGGAGGAGGGGAGGAGGGACGAGGGGGAGGAGAGGGGGAGGAGGGGAGGAGGGAGGACGAGGGGGATGAGGGGAAGAGGGGGGAGGAGGGAGGAGGGGGGGGGGGAGGGGGAGGAGGGAGGATGGGGAGGAGGGGGGGGGAGGGGGGAAGGAGGGAGGAGGGGGGAGGAGGGGGGGGGGAAGGGGGAGAGGGGGGAGGAGGAGGAGGTGGGAGAAGGGGGGGGGAGGACCACCGCGACTGCGTGTCGTTCCACTACCAGGACGCCGCGTGCCCGGCCACCGAGCACGGCCTGAGCCAGGGCCACGGCGAGGCGACCGGGGCGCGGCGAGGGGCCCAGACGTCCAGCGGGAGGTGTCGTCCGGCCCCTCGTCATCCTCCCTCCTCGTGCCTCTTCCTCCCTCCCTCCTCCTCGTCCTCCTCGTCCTCCTCGTCCTCCTCGTCTTCCCTCGTCCTCCTCGGCCTCGTCCTCCCTCGTCATTCTGTCCTCCTCGTCCCCCTCCCCCCCTCCCTCCCGCGAGAGTCGCCCTCGCTCCTCACTCCTCTTGCTCTCCCCCTCCTCCTCGTCCTCCTCGTCCTCCTCCTCCTCGTCCTCCCTCGTCATTTCTCCCTCCTCTCTCCTCCTCGTCCCCCCCCCTCGCTCCCTCCCGCGAGCGGGCGAGGCCCAGCCCCCGTCGCGTCGAAAAAAAGAGAGCGGGACGGGAGGTGTCGTTGGCGCTGTCGGCCTGCCCCCCAAAAAATGACCCAGGATGAGCACCAACTCACCGCAAGGAACACTTTCGTTGCACTGGGAGCGCGGGGCAATCGCGCTTAAAAAGGAGTCATGGGCAAAGGAACGCGGATTGCATTACACTGGATAGAATTGGAGAACGCATCCCGCTATGTCACCAGGATGCGTGGCTTTGTCAGCGAGGCGATGTATCAGTGAAGCGTAGTATGCGTACCCCGTACAGTAGACCATCATTCGGGTGATAAGGAGGCCCGGGGAGTGAGGAACTAGCGTGGCGATCAGCATGTCTCTTGCAAGGTGAGCTTCAATTCGGTTCGTATACCGGATCCCATGCCCACGCCGATTGTAATTGGAGGTGCATGTCGATGTTCATACAGATTCGGACGTCGAGTGATGTCTGTTGTGCACTTGGCTTGGTGTGCCGATGTGCATGCCGATGTCCATTTATGATTGTAAAATAATGTGCATCTGTGTTTGCATTTCCCACAGGACAACCCGGATAACCGCGAGACAAGTACAGGACAACCGAAGGTCAATCACGGAACAACAGACAATCCGCGGGACAACCTCTTGGCAACCCGCCAGGCAGAACAAGTTTGCCCAAGTTGACCCAGCTTCGGGCGACACATTATTTCCCTCGCGCAGCTTCGCCATGCCTGCACGCACGACACTGCCCGAAACACACAACTACTTCCTTGTGGGGGTGATTTGGTTCAGGTCCCAGGCTGCCGATGCGCCACTGAGTACATAAGCTGAGGACACGCAGTCCAGGGAAAGTCAAAGCCGCGGGCCGAGCTAGAAGAACCAGAGTACCAGTACCATCGACTAGACGTAAGAGTGACCTTTCGTCGTTGGAGTGATCTTTGGTGCGGGCCCAATGGGGTCCCCCGATCGTTGAGAGCGAAGCGGTAGCAGCGGCTTGCGCGCCCAGATTTGGCCACCCCGCGTCCTCCGTTAAGCCTTCCGCGCACCAAAGGTCACCCTTGTCTCGGATTATTCTTGCGTGCAGACGAGACCATGGGGAAGATAAGGAAGTGTTCGGGCCCAGCGGAATAGCGCCTGTTTCCAACAATGAACAAGTGCAGCTAGACGTGCAGTCTCTGTGGGCTAAGGCTCTAGGCAGCTGGGAGAACCTCCGCCGCTCAGCCTGTGGCGCCGCAAAGGTTTGGGCGCATGCCCTGCTCTCTAAGATTCGTCCTGGGCCGGCAGAACACAACAACTCATTCAGCACACAAGGCGTTGTGGAAAGCCAGCGCGTTCGAATAATCGATACTTAGGTGGACATTTCCGCCTCGGCGCAGGCCTGCGGAAGACGCACGACAGTTCGCAGAAGTTCAGCAATGCCGGATCCGCTGGCGCAAGCACGCGGACCGCCAGACCAGTGCACACATGGTTTCTTCTTGTTGACAGCACGACTGTCTGCGCGCGCCCAGTGTCCGACTGAACAGAACACGGAAGACGGATCTTGGCAGTCAGGGCAGCGCCCAGCTAATTCACCAGCGGGTGTGCGAGGGCACCTTGTCTCGTGGGCGACAAGCATCTCCGTATCCGCGATCTCGCAGGCCAGGCCCCTGGACCGCGGCCCCGCGGACACGGGGCGTTCTTTCGCGGATGTCCCGCGCGGAACGTACTCGTGCGACCGCATAATTTCCGGAGGTTCTTTAGTTGATCCCCCCCTTCCTCCTATTTCTCTCCGCGGTGAATGAAATTCGGCTTTCCTCCTCCTCCTCATCCTCCTCCTCCTCGTCCTCCCTCCTCCTCCTCCTCCTCCTCCTCCTCCTCCTCCTCCTCCTCCTCCTCCTCCTCCCCCTCCTCCTCCTCCTCCTCCTCCTCCTCCTCCTCCTCCCCCTCCTCCTCCTCCTCCTCATCCTCCTCGCTCCTCCTCCTCCTACTCCTCCTGCTCCTCTCCTCTTCCTTCCTCCTCCTCCTCCTCCTCCTCCTCCTCCTCCTCCTCCTCCTCCTTCTCCTCCTCCTCCTCCTCCTCCTCCTCCTCCTCCTCCTCCTCCCCCTCCTCGTTCCTTCTCCTCCTGCTTCTCCTGCTCCTCCTCCTCCTCCTCCTTCTCCTCCTCCTCCTCCTCCTCCTCCTCCTCCTCCTCCTCCTCCTCGTGGTATTCTTCCTGCACCTTCAAATAGGCATCCTTTCTCCTCCTTTCATCCTGCTCCTCGCTCCTCCTCCTCCTCCTCCTCGTCCTCCTCCTCCTCCTCTCCTCCTCCTCCTCCTCCTCCTCCTCCTTCTCCTCCTCCTCCTCCTCCTCCTCCTCCTCCCCCTCCTCCTCCTCCTCCTCCTCCTGCGTTTTTGCGTTTCTCGTTCCGAGCAGCGTCTCGCGTGTGCCCGGAGCGCGGAGCGCGCCACAGCAGCCCACGAGGGCCGCGTGGGCACTCAGACGGCGGCCCCGGGAACCCGACCTCGAGGAAGAAGAGGAGGACCAGGGACCAGTTAATACTTCGGAGGAGCTGGGGAAAGAGGCCGAGATTTAAAACAATAGGCCCGCAAGGGCTTTTGGACGGGCGCCGCGCGCGCCCTCGCCCGCGGGCGTCAGGCAGCGCCTGTGGCGCGGCGCTCGGCCTGGCCTTCGGCCTCTTCGTGGGCCGCGGGCCAGGTTGGCCGCTCGGCGGCGGCTGGGCCCCCTTCGGCGCGGAGCGCTGAGCCCAGCCGCTGTGGGGGCATGGGCCTGGGTGTGTGGTCTCTTCTCCTGACCACCTTTCCCCAGGTCCAGCGGGGTGTGGGGGAGTGGCTCTCCTGCCCACCTTTCCCCAGCTCCCTTCGGGGCTCGAGGTATGTGGTCCCTGCTGCTGACCACCTTTTCCTTGAGCCCGCTTCGGCCTGGCTGGCCTCTCGGAAACGTCTGGGCTCCCTTCGGCGCCTCGCGCTGAGCCCAGGCCTCCTCCTCCTCCTCCTCCTCGCCGTTCTGGCACAAGCATTTGGTTTTGTGCATGCGATCACCGGTGTTCAGAGCGACTGGGTGTTCGCGGGCCGGAATGGTTCGGAGGCACCCCATCTCTTTCACGGCGACAGTGCGATGGTTCTTGGTGACAAGTCTCGCAGTGGTAACAATTCTCCGTCTCAACGTTGGACTTGTGGACATTGCCAGTGCAAGAAGAACGCGTGGCAATACAAGTGGTACACATATCGTGGTCAGCATTGGAAGGAACCCGCCTCTGGTGACCGCTCGGCCAGAGGTGGACTGCCTCGTGGAGCTGCAGGTGCTGATGTTCGTCGTGCCGCAGCAGATGCAGTTTCAGGTGAGCCCCTGCCAGGTCGCCCCGCAGTCACCAGTTCGGCAACTAAGAGTGAACTCCAGCGGCTCGTCGAGCTCAGCGCCAAGGTCGGTGACGCCTCCTTCCTCACTACGGCTCAGGAGAAGGTGGCGCAGATGGAGCAGGCGCCTTTGCCCCTCAGCAGAAGGCAGATGCAGCTTTCAAGGAGATCCAGCGCTTGGAGAAGAGCCTGGACCGCGATTTGGAACAAGTGCACAACCTCGAGCGGAAGCTGGCCCAGCAGGGATCCGATCTTGAGAGCACGTTGCATGATTTGGAGCGGTACGATGCTGAGCATAAGACGGCCATCTCGGAGCTGTACCTTTCAGTCTCGTCGCCCCAAAATGCTCCTCGACAGGCCGTTGCTGCAGCAGCTGACGCGCCTGTGCTGCGTCTGAAGGACATCTCGAGGGCAGGCTCTCCTCGTCCTCGACGATGGCGACACGTTCGGCCTCGGAGAGTACAAGGAACTGCCTGCGCAAGACCTCAAGGAGGCATAGTCCCGCAAGCAGCAGCTGTCGAAGCAGATCGCCTCCCTCACCACTACGTTGTTCGGTGAAGTTCAGGGCAAGTACGTCGAGCTCAAGAAGAGCCATCAGGAGCTGACGCAGAGGTTGGAGAAGAAGCGGAAGACCGAAGCTGATCGTCGCCAGCCTGGACTTGGAGCTGAGGCCGCCTCTGTGGGGGCGGGGGCGTCGGCTGCCGCAGGAGATGGCAAAGCCGCCCCGCCAACGCTTGCCCCCGCCGCCGCACCACCTGCCAAGCCTGCTAGAAACGTCCGAGAGCAGGCAAGGCAGGCGGTCGCTCGTGCGCCCACCAAGTCTGCCCCAGAGGCCGCGCCGCCCAAGGCGCCCGCGGCCCCGTTGCCCAAGGCACCTTCTCACTCCTAGCCCAGCCGTGGCCGTGCAGACACTCTCCTCTTACCCTGGACTCACTGCCTCCTGCCCAGTTTTGGATGCCCACGGGGCTCGTCCGTGCATCGTCGGGACCACGGCGATTTTGGAAACTCAGAGTCTATCGGATTGGAGATTGCGACGGCCAGTGGCACGAGCTGGAACAGTATCACCAAGCTTATGGGGGTTACCTCGGCGCACGTCGTGCTTGTGCAGGAGCACATGATGATCTCAGCTGAGGAGCTCAAGAAGGTTTCGGCCTGGTGCGTGCGACACGGGTGGAAAGCCAGTTTTGAACCGGGGACCGTGGGCCCTGGAGGGGGCTCTCCGGCTGGGGTTGGAGTTCTGGCCCGGTCCTTTTTTGGCATGCACCACCCCGGTTTGGGACCCGCTACTCGGGAACATAGGGCCCTCGGAGCCCTCGTCCACCTT